CTTCTCTCCCTCCCTTCTTCTTCTCTCTCCCTCTTCCTTTTCTCTCTTGATTCCTTCTCTCCCTCCTTCCTCTGCTCTCCCTGTTTTCCCTTCTTCCTTTTTGTTTTCTTTTTTACCACCCTTCCTCTTCTCCCGCCTCCTCCGTTCTATACCACTTTCCCTAGCTTCTATCTTCCCTTCAACAATATTTGTTGACTCCTGTACCGGATGCCGGATCCAGCAAACCTAGCACGTGACTAGGACTGGAGATGCAGTGGATTGTTTTAGTTTTATGCTTCTCCATATTGTTTGAAAAATATCTCATGTGTATGTGAAATTTTTTTGAAATTAAAGATAAATTTTAGAAATTAAATAGAAAAAATGATGCAAATGTATTGATCTACATCAAATGGCGGTCCAGACTTAGACTGCGGCTCTGTAAATGGATGTCCACTGCTCAACTCTATTTTTAGCCCTTCTTCTCATTCACTCTTACCCTTAGATGCTGAGCCCAACTGGTGAGATTAGTTATTCACATTTCTGTTAATTAGCATTTACCCAAATGAAATGTTAAGATGTATTTAATAAAGCACATCCAGGGATGTTGGCTGCAGGCAGAATGAATAATGTCAATATTTTTCTACATGATAACCTTGTAACATACGAAGTGCAGATATATTCTTATTCCCATTTTACAGATGAGGAAATGGATGCAATGTAGAAGTGAAGTAAGTTGCCAGTTAGTGGTAGAGCCAGGTTTCAAATCCAGGTTTTCTGAATCTGAATTACAAGCTCTTTTTACTTGTACACATGATGAAGGATGTCTTAATTGTCTCTACTTTAGACTTACAGTGCCCTGTGTATTTTCAGATAAACCCATAATCATAGCCTGCTCTCAGAAAAGGAACTGACATTAGTCATTTATAAGTAAGAGTTTAGACCTCTGAATCACTTCTCCTAGGAAGATTTATAGCTTAACTTGAACTCCAGTGGTGAAATGGTAGACTTGTAATTCAAGGGCCCTATGGTTGGCAAATGACAGAAACCCAGTTTGAATTATTTTAAGTAAATAAAAAGATTTATTGATTCACAAGCCCAGGAAGGGTAGGAGGAGAGCTTACCTGAAGAAAGATGGGACCCAGAGATTTGATGCTGCAAGTTCTCGCTCTCTCTTTCTTTGTCTCCTCCCTGTGTATGTTGGACTCCATTTTTTTCCTTATATGACTGAAAACACAGTTACAGGCAGCTGCTTCCAGACCAATTGGGAAAAGGGTCTCTTCCCTGTCAGCTTCGCTCAGGAAAAAATTCCAGGTAAGGGCTCTGATTGGCTTGGCTTGGGTCACATGTTTTATGGGCAAGGGAATGGGAGATTGGTCCAGCTTGGATACCAAGTCCACCTCTATGGCCAAGACAAGTTTGAGTCTGTGACTGGCAGTCCCCTGCAGACCCCAGGGGTTAGCCCAGGAAGATGAGGTTCCTCTGTGGAGGGAAGCTGCTTTTTCATGAAGGTTAAAATTTTGTGTTTATTACCTTCCTGTAACAAGGTCTCTGGCATCTGTGAGGTGGAGGTCAGAATGGAGGAAGAAGGGTTGTGCTGGAGAAGGGAACCTCGGTTGCTCTGAAATCAAGCCACCAATGTACCCTAAATATAGGGCAAAACTTGGTTTCCACTTTTCAACTTTTAAGGTTGCTACCACTCTTTTTGCTTTAAGGAGACCTGCTATGCCAACTACTCCCATGCGTCTGGCCGCTACTGCAGACGGGGTCTTGCCTCACTCCACGCTGAACCTGTGAGTTTTCCTGACTTCTCCCCTTCACCCAGCATGCTCCCTCAGGGCAGGGTCTGGTCTGGAGAAGCACAGTACCTTAGTGTCCACAGCACCCAGTACAGTGACCACCACTCTGCAAATGCCTCTCAGAACTAGCTGTGTGTGTGTGTGTGTGTGTGTGTGTGTACGTACCTCTCTCTTCCCTCTGACCACCCTGTGATGGAGGAAAAGGCTCTGGTTAACTTATTTACATTAGAGAGTTAGTAACTTTTCCTCCCTCCTCAGCAGAGATCTTACCTAAATCCCAAAGTATTCACAGTAGTGCAAAATGAGTAAAAACGTGAAGCAGAAATTAACTCATGGAAAAAAGTTCCTGGGAGATAGAAACCCCAACTCATCTTTTTTTTATTCCCAGCTCCAGGACAGTGCCTGGCACATTAAAAATACCAAAAAATTGTAGCTAAACTGAACCATTTCAGAGTCAGACCCTAAAATGACCCCTAAAGATTTCTGCCTCCTGGTAGACATGTCCTCCAGTTGAGTGTGGACTTGCATAGAGACTTCTAACCATAGTATATAGCAAAGATGATGAGATGTCATTTCTGTGATCCAGTCCCAGAAGACTGTGGCTTCCATCTTGCTACCCAACTCTGTTGTCTTCTTGGCTTGCATGCTTCGATGAAGCAAGTTGCCATGTTGGAGAGGCTCATGTGCAAGGAACTGAGGGCAACCTCTAGCCAACACCCAGTAAGAACTGAGGCTGTCGGTCTAGCATCCCTTGAGCCATTAGCCTTGCCAACAACCACCTGAGCTTCAAAGTGAACCCCTCCTCAGCAAAGCATTCGGATGAGACCTCAGCCCTGGCTCACACCTTGATTGCAGCCATTGAGAGCCCCCGAAGCAGAAGACCCAAGTAAGCTATGCTCAGACTCGTTACTCACAGAAACTGTGAGATAATAAGTGTATGTTTACTTAAACCACTAAAGTTTAGAGTAATTTATTCCATGGCAATAGATAGCTTATGCAAATATCATCCCAGACAGGGAAACTTTCTGAGCCTGACACGTATCTCAATAAGAAGGACAGAAACTGAGCAATTGCCTGTGCAGGGTACTTAGCTGGAGTGTTTCCTATGCTGTCCATCCCTTTATCTTATTCTAGCTGGGTAAGAAGGGTACTTTTGTCCCCATCTCACAGGTGAGGAAACTGAAGCCTGGAGAAGTCAGATCATTTACCCCAAGTCACAGCTTACCTGTCTGGGATCTGAATCCACATCTGCCTACCTCCAAAACCCACATTCTAACCATTAGGCCATACTGCTCTTCAAAAGGAGGGCCAGACAATTTCCAAAGTCCCTTCCTGCCTGTTTGGAGTAGCGCTAGATGAAAACAGATTCCAGAAGAGGCTCCATATGCTCACGTAAACGTGTAAGAAAGGATATTTGTGCATGGAAAAGGGATCAGAAAATAAGTTAAAGGATGGAAATTGTTATTTTCTGTTTATGGACTAAGGAGAACCTGACCATAAAAGATGACTGCTCAACTGGATGGAACAGCTCTGTAACAGCAGAACTTCAGGTTTTGTGATACCTGGGTAGGAGGATGATTCCCATCTGGGCTGTGAGGGGAGACTTCTTGGCAGCAGCCAGTCACCCCCTCATAAGGAAAGGGAGCCTTATTGGTTGGAGAAGAAGAGGACAATCTTGGGAGAGGGCAAGGCTCGCTCTACCTTGCTTGGTCCTCTCCAGTACCTTCCTACATCTGCGGGCCCCTGGCACTTCCTTTGCAGCCTGGTTTGCTGCAGCTCTGTCATGGCGGCAGGATGAGTGCCTTCTCTTTCCAAGGTGGATTGGCCTGACACATTTCACCACATCCCTAGAACACAGCCTTGAAGCTTTGGGGAGAAATAGCTACTATGACACCTGGGGAGCATCTGCTCAGACCCTTCCTCGGTGTCTTCCCTGCAACACCCAGAGGAGGATGTAGCGGGTCCATGTGACAGAGGCTGGGTCTGTGGCATCATCAGGACCAGACAGGAGCCACCTATGTTACACAGCTAGTGGGTGGGAGTCTGAATGGGAACCCAGGCCTCCCAACCCCCTGACCAAGGCACCCCTGCAGCTCTGGAGAGGAACAGACTGGCTCAAGTCTCGGGTTTGTATTTACCACTTTGTGACCTTGGGCACATCATGTCACCACTCTGACCCTCAGGCTCCTCCTCTGGAACAAGGGCAAGGGAATCAGGCCACTGCTTCAAAGGGTGTTTATAAGGCCAAAGAAGATAATGTGGTCAAAATGTCGAGAGTAAGACCTGGTAT